TTCAAGAGTATAAAATAATCCTCCCAAGTTCTTCATCTAAAGTCTCTGCATTATAAAAGTCTCAAAAGGCTACAATTTCATATTTGTCTTTATAGGAAATAACAGCTGATGATCAAACCTGCATTCCAGTCCCTAACCCCTAGCTACAAGAGATAAAGGGGTAAGTGTCTCTCTGCCGGCTGGGCCCGTTACCCCTTTGAGAGCTGCCCCACAGTTCTGAAGCCTCCCAGTTTTCAGGATCTCCTAGCTGATCACACAGATGACCAATGAAAGGGACTGAGATGGGTAGCAAGTTGCAAAGAGTCAACAAATGGTGACAAAAGAGTTAAAAAATGGTGACTACATACATGCTTACCTAGCTGGGTATGTAACTCACCAAGTAAAAAAGGGAATTTTTAAGTAGTCAAGTTTGTTGTATGGTTGTGAACTGCTCTGGGATCCTGCAGTCTCCCAAACACCTGAGTAGCCCATGTCATTTCTGAACTACCTGCTTAGTGACATGCCTCATGGGAGTCTGGGGGAGCAGCAAATGGGTCAGTCCATGGACAGCATATCTTGTTGAAGAGGTGCTGCTCTGAGGAGATCTTTGGGATCCATTTTATCTGGTTATTAAACTCCTTCCTGTTTTACATGTAGAGAATAATTTAGCAGATGAAATTCTCTTATAAGAAAGCCAAGTGATTCACCTGAGACTCATATAACATAATCTCAAAACTGTTCTGATTATGTTCTTGTGAATAATCAGCTTCACTTCACAACTACCCAGTACTGGGGAGCAGAGATGCCCACACCCAGCCAGGCGTGAGAAGTGTGTTTGGGAGCATCCCTTACCGTCCCTCTGTCCCTTCAGAACCAAGGTATCCCCTCGTTCAGGTTCAATACCTAGTCTGTGTACTGTGGAGTTGTTTGTCCTAATTCCTTGTCCATAGCACATCATTGTATACACCACAGAGAATTGCCCATAGAAATATAGTAGGATATGAATACATATGCAGAGGAGGAACATGGTTATTAAGTCAAAGAATTAGTGGACAGTACAGGCTTCTCCACTGGTCATATGATTTGTGGATTGTGCATCTTCAAAGAGGGGTATGGTAGGCAAATTTCCCAAATTCATTTGACCTTAGAACCTTTCCTTCTTTTTGAAAGGAACCAGTAAAATACAAACTGAGAAGGCCTGTAATACATCATAGCTGGATCACCAAGTGTGAGAATGTAAAGGAAACTCAAGATAGTATAAGATTTGGAGTCTTTCTCTGTGTCTTTTACACTGATAAAATATATGTACTCAGTAAGGCATGTAGTGCCGGGTGAGAAATAGAGTGTGGGGCCAATCCCCCACTGTCGGAAACCTCAGAGCTTGGAGTTGGGAGGGGGCACTAAGACCCGTACACAGCAAAGTAACAATCCCAGATAGACCCCGAGAGAACTGAAGAAGCACCAGGAGGGTTCAGAGAGAGAGAATCCTTTCTGTTGAAAGGATCGGGAAAAACTTAAAATGAGGCAACTGAAATAGACCCCAAGGGGTGGCTGGGTATCAAAAGGCAGTGATGGGGTAGGGATGACAAGCAAAGAATATGAGCTGGTGGGCCCTCTAAGCTCAATAAACAACTGGAAGAAAAATAAATAACTGGTATGACCAGAAGATAGTAAATACTTTAGCTTAGCTGGAAATTTTACAGGTAGAGCTTAAAAGTAACTAGATGAACCCTGGGGATGGCTGGAAGGCCAGGCTGGATTTGTAGTTAAGAAATAAGTAGCCATGTTAGTACTTGAGCGAAGATGAATGGCTCTTTTTTCAAGTGTGTGTTAGATATATGACAATTCCAATAACTTTTTGAAATTATCCTTTGAGTGTACAGAACTGCTGGAGATGCTCACCCTACAGAATAGACTGCCTACCCTTTTCAGTCTAGGGTTGAATGCAGTTGTAAGCATTGTGGAAGATATTTGGCCCGGAAATGAAAAATTACTTCCCAAGTTGCCTCTGAAAGAGTTTGTAAAGTCCTAGTTATGAGAGGATAATATGGAACAAGTTCACTAATCACATTAAACCAACATGATAACGTTATCAAATTAAAAATACATACCCATTTTTTTTACTTATTTATATTGTTCAGATAACCACCATGCTTCATTAATCACAGCATCTGCCTATCATACTTAGTTCAATGAAGAGCAGCGAGGTGCTAAAGTGGTCTGGATAAACCAGAGATGCTGACAAGGGTTGGAAGGTGGGGCTCAGTGAAGAAGGTGATATTGTTGGTGAAATTATCATACTCTAAGGACTTGACAAAAAACAAATTTAGAGCTGCTGAAGTTGTAATCAGGGGGAGGAACTACTGAAGTGTTAGCACGAGCCGGTGCAGTTGGATGGAAGGCACTGTTTAAAGCCTGTGCACTGGACAGTGCCGGGCACCATAACGCAGGACATCAGGGAGCCTCGGCCTGGGCAAAAGAATGGATGGGGATGTCATCACAAAATTGGTTAAAACACTGTTTGTTTGCTTTTTTGTTTTTGGCACTGACCTGACTTTGATAAAAAGTGCAAAAGGCAAGGCCTCTGGAAATCAAGAGGTGAGCCTGTTCCTGTGTGATGCCTGTAATTGCCCCTATTCCCACAAGGTGCAGCAAGACGCAACAGGGCCTGCCTCCCTGGACTATACCTGCCTTCTCAACAAGTTTTCTCAAGAGATTTAAGTCCCTGCATCTCCAGAGTTTGTGATAATTTACTGTTCTCCCTCACATCTAGAAGGTTCTATCTTTGGGAAATTGAGAAAAGACTCCCTTGAACTTTTTCCTAGAGACCCTAATTCTCTCGAAGCACCCAGTTGTGATGTGCACCTTTCATCACTAAGCTACTTTCCTCCTTGGCACCCTGCCCCACATCCTCCTTCTCACACATCAGCCACAGGGAGCAGCAGACAATGTAATAAGGTATCATAATGTGCTTCCCTTTCATTCAGTAACAAATAAAGGTCAGCAGCTTTCACTAAGTTATTAAAAAAAAGTTTTGTGGAACCTGCCTTGCTTGGAGTGCTCATTTATATTTCTTTGCATGTTTGAAATCTATTTTTTTTTTGTCAGAAACACAACCAATGCACAGAGAAAAACAGCAGTTTCACTCACAGGCTTGGAAAATTAATTGCCAGAAGAATTGTCTGAATGAGCAACCCCACAACACTCTTTCAATGTCCAAAACTGCTTGCTGTCCAGAGGGCAGAGATACATGGTTGTAATACACTATAATTCAACCAGCGTCTTGTGGTGAGAAAAAGCAATTGAACCAGTAAAAAAGAGAAAGTGACACTTCAATCCTTGATACTCCTTTTCCTGAAACACCATTACTTAGAAGGTCATGGCTCCCATGCTTCGTTAACATTCAAAATGCCTCCACTTATCTGAATAAGTTCCAGGTGCCCCATTGCAACCAGACAATTGACATTTCACTGTAATCAATATCAGACTTCAAAGAGGTCAGGGCCTATAAGTGAAGATGAGAGTCAAAAGTCAGTGGGCTCAGTTTCAGGGAAGGAAGGAGAAAGTCTGCACGAGCAAAGACAGGGCCCTTGAAAGCAGAAGGGGTCAGAGTGCTGACCTTCCCACTTTCTGCCAGGGGCTGGGTTTGGAACATAACTTATTTATATGAGCAACCTTATCTTGGTAACCAAACATTCTGGGAAGAGTTAGTCCTGAGTCATTGAGGTAGATTAGATGAGGGGGAAAGCCCTTTGAAACCTCTCATTTCACTATTTTCCAGTGGCTCACACTTTGCTGTGGGCTTCCTCACTGGCTGTGTATCAACACATAAACACACTGGAGAATTCCCAAGCTGCATGTGGCCCAGGGGGTGACAATGAAATCTCTGCATCCACTGAAAGTCATTATCCCAGGGATATCTATCAGGCAAGGAATGAGAATGTAATTTTCACAAGCTGCAAATGGTTGTAGGCAGCCTGTAGGGCAGCTGTGATAACCTGTGGGGGGCTTCGTGAGAGACCCCATAAAATAACAAGGGTAAAAATGCGGAGCAGACTCTGGGGGTGGTGGGGAAGAAGGAGGGTTATGCGGCTCATCTCTTTCGGGCCATCCATCTTCCTTCCCCACGAAGCCTCTCCAGACATTTTGGAAACTGCTATAAATCTTAATGAAGGACAAGATGAATGTGGCCCTCCAGACAGAGGTTTAAAAGCAAACTTATCTAAACCACGTATGAAATTTCTAAGTAGCTGTCCAAATGACCACACCTTGATAGAGTATAAAATATGAGTCCAGTAAAGACAAACTTATATTTCATTCAGTCATTTGATCTTAGACTCTAAACCAAAACCTGAGAACATTACATAAGGAGAGTGCCCCCTTGTCAAACATCCATAATGAACACATCTCTGATACTATGGAGGCTGCACAGCCATCCCTGGAGAATACCCAGTGTTATTCTATTCACTATTCTCCCGTCCTCCAAATCCCGCCCTAGTTAAAGCAGTTTCAGGTGATTAGTCATTTCATTCAATGCAGAGGTTCTCAGTCCTGGTTCCACACCTGAATCACCTGGGGAGTGTCTGGAAACTTGGATGCCCATGCTGCATCCCAGACCAATCAAGTCACACTCCCTTGGGAACTGGGGTGGGGGGTGACATCAGTAATTTTTAATCTTTCCAGATGATTCCAAGGAGCAGCCAGGGTGATCCCTAGAAAGTGCTCACCTCAACAGCTCTGACAGCACACCACACACTTGTACATGTTCTTGGAAGGGAATATGGTCCTCAACCCCTGTTCTCAGAATCTGCTGGGGTGCTTGTTAAAAACATAGATTTCTGGGTGCTAACACTCACAATTCTGAATTTCTCGTGGTGGGGCCATGTGAATTTCATGTACACTAGACCCTGAGACTCTCTGTCTAATCCAAAACTATCACCCAGTGCTATTTTTTTTAGTTCAGTGAATCATATAGAGCCAATGACATATTTTTATATAAGCACATTAAAAAATGTTTAAGAGAGTATAAAATGTAGGAAAAGTAATTGTCTAATGTTGTAAATATACTTATTTCAAAATTTATTAAGTTGTACTCTAATCTTAGACGTTTGGCAACTAGTATTACTCACAGGTTAGCTTAGGAGTAGAATGAATAGCATAGGCATTAATAAAATAGGGAGCATCCAAGGAGGCGACTGGGAAGATATTGGGTACAAAAATCATGCCATGTACAGAAGATGTAAGAAAATTTAAGATCTCTGCCTGGAGAAAAGAGGAGGTAGTCAGTCAGAGGTCAGAGGTGGCCATAAATGTATTGGCTGTATTAAGAATTTGCAAGAGGAAATAGGCTTGATAGTTTCAGAAGGCAGAATAGGACTAGTGGAAGTTAAAGGAAGGCCAATTTTATCACTGTAAAGAAAAGTTCTGAGTGATCCAACAATGAAATGGGCTTTAATGTTAAATGGGTGAGCTCCCCACTGGTGAAAGTATTTAAGACGAATCTAGATGACCTCCAAACTGACCTACTATTGAAGGCAATTTGTTTAAGGTCCCTTTCAACTTTAAGACTCTATGATTATAAGTAGAAAAGAAGAAATGTTAGGCTGTATCTGATTTTTACATTGATTTTTTTCTTCAGAAACCAACCATTTATTTATTTAATAATCATTTATTGAAAACCTAGTATGTGCAAGTCACTGTGCAAAGCTTTGGGGATACAGAGATGAGGAAGACACAGTCCTGCTCTCAAGGAGCTCCCATTCTAAAAGGGGGACAGACAAGTTTCCAACAATTCTGTAATAGTACAATAAATGTGATATTATAGGTATTAATGAAATTCTATGGGATCATAGAGGAGAAATCTAACTCAGCTTTGGAGAAACTTAGAGAGCTGAGTATAAAAGAATAAACAGGCATTAGTAGAGTGGAGAAGTGGGAGTGGTGATGGGGAAGAACATTCCATGCAGAGAAAATAGCACGTGCAAAGGTACTGAGGTGTACAAGACAATGGTGCATCTGGGAAGGGTGGGTAATTCACTATGGCCCAAGAGCAGTGTCAATACAAGAGTTGGGAGAGATGAGGCTGAGGAGGCAAGCAAGGGCCAGATCATAAAGAGTAGGTACCTTATCTTGAAGATAGTGGGAAATCATTGGAGAAATTCAAACAAGGAAGTAACATGCTCAGATTTGCAATTTAGGAAGATTATTTCGGTATCAGTATAAAAGAAAGACTGGCAAAGGATTAGAATGGAAGCAAAGAGACCAGATAAGACTTTTGTAGGAGTCCAGACAAGAAATAATGAAGACCTAAATTGAGAGAGGGGCCATGGGGGAGAAAGAAAAGACATGAATTACTTTGACTGAGGGTCTAGTGGCTTAGCAGGTTACACCCACCAGATTTTAGAGGCTGATAAAGATGGGATGTGAGGAGTGAGGGAGGGAAGAGCTGCTGAGTTTCTGGCTTGAGTAACTGAGTGCGTGGCAGTGCCACTGGCGGAGATCAGGAATACAGGAGGAGAGCAGTTTTGGTGGTGGGGGAGGAAGGGTGATGAGTTCAGTTTTGGAAATGTTGAAATTGAAGTGCCGGTGGGATTTCCAGTTCATCTTCAACACTTGTGAAAATACTCTCGCAATTCCAGTCCCTTAACTCTGCCGAGCAGAAAATGTCAATCATCTGGAAAGGGATTAAATCAACCCAGCCAAGTTAGAAATCATCCTTTCACACTGCACTCACCTTGAAATCAGAATGGAGTTCCAGGAAAACAATAGACATACTTTTCCTTACTCCCTCTGTTTGAAACTCATCTGTGGCAATATCAGTAAACTTACCCTCACTGTTTGTGCAAGTTGCCAGGGTCGGTTTTCAACAAGGACACGGTGGTTCCTGATTATTAATGCAGACAGCCTTTCTGACTCAAGCTCCTCTCCACAACCTTCCTTAAACACTCTTAATGGACTTCCACATTTCTAAATGTCATGTCTGAACACATCTTACTACTACAAGCTTTTCACACCCTCTTCAGTCATTCCTCAGACAAGCCAAAGGTTTGTAATTATTAAAATTTTAATTTAAATCATCTTTGAAAATGTAAATCTCATTTTTCTTGGAAAAAGATCCACAATATATAAAGACTGGAAATAATGTCATTCAACTTATACAAAACTGAATAATCTCCCACATATTTTTCATTTCCTAGGATTCCCTTAATTACACTTATTTAATCCTTTTAGACTTCATGCATTTTGGGGGAACTGTTGAGAATTTTCTTGTGAATAAAACAAGGCAAGGGCATACATTAACAAATAATCTACATTTTCTCATTTGCCCCTCAACCCTTTGATTCCACTGATGATAATGAGAATTAAACAGTAAGCAAATGATCATTATGGGCACATCCATTCCTACATGACTCTCCCCCACTTCTCTTACGTCGCTTCTCTCGCTTTTCTGCCCCTTCCCTGAGGCTTCCCTCTGGCAAATACTCACAGCTTTTGCGAAGACGCCCATAAGTTCCGGGAACTGATGTGTTAGGAGGGCCAGCATGGCTGTGAAGGAACACAATCCAGCAGTAAAGAGAATAAAGAAGGGGAGCTCCTTCTTTGGGTAAACTGAGACTTCATGGAAAGCTGTGGAGAAGGTCACAAGGGAAGCGTCAGAGCTGGAATAAATGCGTTCTCGGGGAATTACTCTACGTGGGATGGACTCCTTAGAGCTTTGGCCAAATAAAGCCTGTTATAGATGAAAAAGGCAGGGCACTTGAATGAACCAGAGTCAACATTGGAGCTGATCTTGGCTGCCTACCCACTTTTCCCAAGTCCATGTTCAACCTTCAGCACTCCCTCTAGAAGCACGATAGAGTTCATTTGGGGATGTCACACATTCATGGTCAGGGACAGTAACACCACCTATGCCTAATATATAACATACCTTTCTCTAAAGCAAACACAAATAAAACAAAACTTTATTCAAATTATAAAACACATGTTCATTGTAGAAAACCTGGAAAATCCAAAATAAAGCATACTGAAAAAAAATCCTGTCTCTAGATTTTCACCTTCCTGTAATTTTTAATCATAATGCAGTGATATTAGTTTATCTTGTATTTTTTCTGGGCACACTCTAGGTGTGCTGATGGAGGGGCCACCCAGACAGAGACATCCAGCATGGACCTAGTATGCTGGCCTGTTCAGGCTCCAGGGCTAGAGATAAAGACTGGGAGGGTCGTCTGGCACAACTGCAGGAGGCTCTTGATGATAAATATACTCAAAACCTCAACCCCAAAATAAATAACTGGTGTTCTTTAGAGCACATTTCATAACTTTTAAATTTCAAATGTTGGGTTTGGGCAAACTAAAAAACTGTGGCACAAAAATGAGAAAATTGACTTTCGGCTTTCTGGGACCCTGTGACTGCCTGTGCCCTGGGCCTGCCAGTGAGAAGAGCAGCAGCTGCCAAGGCGCTGGTGCAGAGAAGTAGTGAAACTTCAGTGAGCAATCCTGCACTGCGCCGAAATGATCTAAGTGCTCCACTTTCCTCAGGAAATCCAAGACCCTAAAGGCCTTTCCTCTACCACTCAGCTCTCATTACTTAGATCCCCAAACAGTAATCTGCTCTGCTGAGACTGAGGGCGGAGAGGGGCTGGGAGGGAGAGAGGGACAAAGCACAAATAAGCATATACACCTGAATCCAGGGAAGTCAAACTGCCAGGATTTAAACATGGGGCCCCCTGCCTTGGGGCCACCTTGGCAACAATGGTACTTTTGGTGTACAAAATGTGGGTAGCACTTAAAACAACTGACCCTCTCCATATCCCACCCTCAAAGCCCAGTCCCACTAAGAAACTGTGAGGAGAGATTGATCAGACTTGGATCATTGCATTCAATTAAATAAATGTGAGCCACAATTTCCTATTTCAGGCTGATAAGAATTATGCCTGGAGAGCTACTTTTAAGAACTGTGATTTTGTTCTAATAGTGAATCTATCCCCATGGAAACTCAATTGGACTCAAATAAAACATTTTAAAACAGTATACTTTTTAGAAAACTATCTACACCAGAAAACTGAAACTTTAACAAAATATCTCTGTGAAAGAGAAGTCAAAAAGTAAACTACAGGCCTATAACAGGGATTTCTGAAATCAAATGTAACATAGTGTTAGATACCAGACTCTTTCACAATAAAACATAGACAGTGAAGAACATGCCACTGCGATTTCCCAGTTCCCTAAGTAACAAAGTTCACATTGGGGCTGGCTAGCAAGGAAACAAGTAAGCTACCTCCTGATACTTCAATTTGAGACAATGATTCGTTTTGCACCCAGACCCCACCATGTTGGAGATTTATGACTGACTTAATAACACTGGTGTTCGACTATTTACTATGCACGGAGGGCTCCAAAGTTACACTGTTCTTCTGAGCAAAGTATTTAAATATGTTACAGCTATGAGGTATGATATAACTGGGGCTGGTAAAAAGGAAGGGGTGGCAGGAGAGTGGATGGGGAAAAGGGAATAGCTTAAATTTGGAGCTTATTATCTGAGGGAGCAAAATATGTCCTCAGTTAGGGCCATATGAAGAGCCTGGACATGATTCTCTACACAGTATGATTTGATAATAACCAGTTAGCCAGAACTATCAAAACAATATTGTACCACAGTACACCAAATCATACTTTCCACATGTGGTGTGTGTCACCAGACTGCTAGCTTGTACAGTGCTCAAGGGTAGGGAACCCTCTTTGTGCTGTACACAGTGCTGGGGCTGCACGTGTTCTCTGCACATGGTGTACCAACACACTGCTAGCAACCCGAGATGCTCACGGGAAATCCCTTTGGCCAAGAGCACTGCATCACTGCGGAGAGCACGCCTGCCCCACCCCACAACTCCACTTCTGGCAACGATGCCAGAAGGTCCTGGTGCCGCCCTCCCATCCGTGACTCATTTGCAGCTCCTTCTGAAGTCAATGCTTCCTCTACAAACTCCAGTCCATGCAGATTGCATCTAACCAGTGGAGGGCCCCAGCAGCACCCTGCCTGCGGGACCAGCCCAGTCAACATCAGCCCCAAACTAGGGATCTCTGTGCTCAGGCACACATGATGCCTCTTCATCTAAATTTCAGTCTTCTGGGGCCTTTCCCTTTGATGGATCTGAAGAGATTTGGAGGAGCAGGAAGCCAAACCCACTCACAAAACTCACTTTAATGCATACGCTATCAAATAAGGACAGGGTTTGGAAGAAGAGTAATAAAAAACAAGAACATTATAAACAAAAATCATTCTCGACTCTCCCCATCCCCCTCACTGGCTGAAGAGAAAATATAGAGTGGTGAGACTTACACGGGAGCAATTCTCGGTCTGCTGTTTCTGTGCAGATTGGGTAAGGGTAAAACAGATGCCCTTTTTCTAAGGGATAAGGGATCATCCGAAAAGCTGAAAAGGAGAGACAATACGTTAGAGGTTCAATATGTGTCTCCTAACTTTTCAATGTCAAAAAGGGCCTTTTGAGTGTTTTTATAATGGGAATACTTCTTCAAATAACTCCCAGAAAGGACACAAAACTTCCCCAAGCTCTGAGGCACGTGCCAGATAAACTGTCAGAGGTGCATTATGATGTTTGACTCACACATTAATGTCACACTATATATTCTGGGCAAACCTCACAAAACTGGGTGGGGATGGGGTACAGAGGAGTAGGGAAACCATCAATTCTAATGCCCGGGGTTTCCTCATCTATAAAATATTATCAAAATGTCATGAACACTAACTGAATATAACTCAACTGACAGCAATAGTGCAAACCTGGATTGAAATGCTTCCCCAAGAAGTAAATGTAGACTGACTTGTTGGAGACTGTTACAGATGTACAAATATGAAAGGCATTCTACAATGCCTATTTTAATAATATATCTATGTGGATTACAATTCCAACCAAGATGGATAGAATAAAAAATATAAAAATGACTTGGGGAGTATTTCTAAACTTTATGAAATTTTTAAATCTTCAATATCATGTGGGAAAAAATGTATGAGGAGAGACTGATTAACTGCATTTTGATGTCAGGCCACCTAAATTCTGTTTCTGTGGCATCAGACAATATGAGGTTTTGTGCTGAATTATGGCTTTCCAATAATCCATCCCTCCCATTATCACATGTGTTACTCTCCCTATTACAATGTCATCAGCATGTTAGTCTCACTGTCCTATGAACACTGCTCATAGAGGCAATTTTTCTTCAACAGATGTCCTTTAACTACAGAATGTTCTAGATATAAAATATAAAAACTGAGCCCTACTCTGGGAATGTTGAATATCAATCCTTGCCTTCATGTGTGTCAAAGAGGGGTGGGGGCAACACAGGACTCTTCAGTTTTAAATGCAACATTTCAAAGAATTGTAGCTTCATCCTTAGCTGTGTGATTACCTAAGCCTTCTCAAAATGCTGTCAATGTACATATTTATCTTTTGCATACTTATTTCAAACAGGAATCAGAAATGAAGAATCTTCTCCCTCACAAGAAATGACAAGGTTCCATTGTAACCAGCATCAGTGCACATATGGTATTTATTCTGGTGTCTGAATATTATTTAAAAGTAAAAACATTATGTATGTGATTCCAGCATTCGGAATGCAGTCAATCTACACCACAGTGGTATCACTCTGGGGTTACAGCACATTGCCACAGAGAATATAAATCATTATAAATGTGGGATTAGAGCAGAGCCAGTTTGCTGAGGTAAAAATGTTATCAATTTTCCTCTTGTAACAAAAACCTCTTAAACAGAGATTAAAACATTAGAAATACCCCAGTCTTTAACTGTTCTTAAAATGAAAGGCTCACCCTAGTTTAATCAGACCTTAACGTTCATGCAAACAAAGATGACTTTTGCCCACTACAATCAGCCAAGACAAGAGCTCCCTCCCCATACAGGTTGTTAACACACAAAGATCACTGGAAGGAACCACATCTTTCTCAACAAAACTAAGCTTGCAAGAGAAGGAAAAAGACTACAAATCCAAAAAATACCTTTAGTGCCTTTAGAGGATACGCTAAAATCTCTTTGGGGAATTGGTGCATTTAAATTTAAAACTGCAACATGGAAGTACTTTAATACCCTTTCTCATATATGATGACACCTATGAAAGCATCCCCAAAATGTGGAAAACCTATGTGGAAGGTTGGTACTTATTTATTTACTTATTTTTTTGAAATCTGGATTCTCCATGTGCAACTGGGCTGCTGTAATTAAGAATCTATTCAGTTTTCAAAGTGGCTACAAATTTGAATGCTAGATTTTATTCAAAAAATTGAAATCAGTTTGTACTTCAAGGAGCAACAGGAGTACAGGATCTTGAGAGTGTTCAACCATAGAAATCAAATGATTAGTTGGTATTTTTTCCAGTCAGATGACAAATGTTTTTTTTTACTTCAGTATTTGGCATGCATACTGAATTTTATGCATCAACTTGGTCTTCTTCTTCTTCTAATCAGTTCTGGTCTCTTTGGAGAGAGAGGGTGGAGACACTGATTATATACAACTTAAAAAAAAGACACACACACACACACACACACACAATTCTTATAGTGTCCTCCCTTGATTGCAAAGATGCTTATGGTGCTCTTAAAAATTGCTTTTTCTCATGTCAGTTGTTATATACATAGAGTTTATAAAGTAATATTAAGACTTTTGGCTTCACTACACAAAAGCAAATCCAATTTTTGTTTGCGATTCTATCCTTCAGCCACCCTGCTGTGCAGGGTCAGCAAAGTGAGAGATAAGCAGTGGAGGCTGGGGAGAGAGGGGAGAGTCACAGCTCCGCCTCACACCTCCTGGTCCCTGTTACTCCAAAGATGTGTGTGTTAATTGCTCCACAAGAACCTAATGGCTTTAACTGAATGTCCAGAATTTTGCAAGAGCAAAAGTTAAAACCCTGATTTGGCAGTGCAAATAAGAATGAAAAAAGGGTCATTTGATCTGTTTTATGAATTTGATGTATTTGATCTATTTTGCAATTGACTGCAAATCTTCTACACATCTTTTCTGAGAAAACACACCTTTTCAAGCAAGGATATGCATGTATTTGTTCAAGAACAAAACAAAGAAGCTAGGCCACTCAGTGTTTGATGTTTTGTTTGTCTATGTTGTCTTTCAAAGAGGATCTCAGAGACCTTTAATACAGACAGATTACTCATAATAGTGAGAACTAAATCTGAATCCTAGCTTTGCCTCCTCAAAATGGGAGTGTCTTCCTCATGCACCAAGGGCAGAAAATTAAGCCAAGCACACATGGTCCCTAAACTGACAGAGTTCATCAGGCAGGGCAGAAACCAATGATCCAATAATCGTAAAAATATGTGTGAATGCTCCCACTATCATAGCTCCTGGAAGGAGATATCAGTGGGGCTGTGCACATCTAAAGAAGAAGGAGTAAAGGTGACAGCTAAGGGATGGGTTGAACTTGACTAGGCTAAGGACTGCACATCTTTGGGTGGGTCATTAGTCTGCGACCAGTCTTTTTATTTATTTATTTATTTATTTATTTAAAAAATGTATTTAGTTATTTTTCAAGTACAGTTTTTTTTGTCAGTTTCTCCCATCCCAGCCACCCCTTGCCCCGTCTCCCCACCTCCCTCCCATTCCCCCCCCCCAGTCCTCATCCCTGTGTCTTTCATACTTGTTCTTCAAAATCCCTCCCCGTTTTTCCCCTTAAATTCCCTTCCCTCTCCCCTCTGGTTGCTGCCCACTTGTTCTCTATTTTAGTGTCTTTGTTTTTATTCTATTTGCTTGTTTATTTTGTTTTTAGCTTCCTGTTAAAGGTGAGATCATATGGTATTTGTCCTTCAATGCCTGGCCTATTTCACTCAGCATAATGCTTTCCAGGTACAACCATTATGGAAAACAGTATGGAATTTTCTCAGAAAAATAAAAATCGACCTGCCTTTTGACCCAGCAATTCCACTGCTAGGATTATATCCCAAGAATCCTAAAACATCAATTTCAAAGAACCTATGCACCACAATGTTCATAGCAGCACAATTTACAATAGCCAAGAGCTGGAAGCAACCTAGGTGCTCATCAGTAAACGAATGGATCACAAAATTGTGGTACATATACACAATGGAATTCTATGCAGCAGAGAGAAAGAAGGAGCTACTGCCCTTTGCAACAACATGGATGGAACTGTGACCAGTCTTTTTATCTGTAAAAATGAGAATACCACAGACCTTGCAAGGCTGTTAAAAGGAAGTACGTGTGAGAACAGAGGTCAAGGGTCTCTAAATACAGTGCCTGGCTGCTCAATAAAAGTTCGTTTTCTCTTTACCCTCCCTTTCCACTAACCCTAAAGTTCATACTTTCTGTACTAGGGCATACTCTAGCTTATATAAAAATGCAGTGTGTTTGTCAACAATTAGAAGTACAAATGATAGACTAGAAAATTATTGTCAAAATACAAATTCTCACTTTTTACTGCATTGTACGAAACTGCCATGAAAGATATCTGTCTTTTGTGAGGCATTTGGACACTACAGTAAAGGAAGTACAAATGCTGAAAGCCTGCATTCTGATCCACATTCTTTCAGAATCTACTTATGTGGCCTTGGGAAATCAGTTTCCCTTAGATTAAATGATGTTCCATTCTAATTCTGAAGATAAATCCTAAAGTTCTACAGCAGATTCCTAACGTGTTAGTAACCCCAACACTCTGTTCCTACTTCCATGATAGTACTGCTTACATACACCCACACACAGGTGTGTGTGCCTATGTACATATGAGGATATATGGACATCCATACATACTGTTTTTCCCAAAGCATTTCAGAGTCTTATTGATCTTGGTACCCCCAACATAATGCCTGGCACAAAGAGGGACTCGATACATTTTTGTTGAGAAAAGGAATGAACAAATTAATGCACAATCAAGAAGAGCAGAATTTTTCCTTTAAAAACTCAGGTGAATCCAAATTGTGGTCACTCACAAAGACTGAATAGAAAAAAGAGCAAGTTGGTCCCCCTGGGCAGGGGGCAGGAGAGCATCATGCAGGAGACTTGCTGTGAGTAAACAGTAACCATCACCAGGGACTTCAGCTGACTATTGCTTTCTCCCAAGAAACAAAATCTTAGATGTACAGGGGTGTGGAGTGGGGGTGGGGGTCTCTCCTCAGCAGTCCAAAAGGTGCCAGCCTTTTGGAGTAAAGGTTTAGTTAGAGGAAATGCCCTAAGGTCCACATCTTACAGCAAGCACCATTTACCATTAGGTTCAAAGAGAATAAATTAGAATCAGAATTTCATCCTATGCTTCAATTCAACAATGGGCTATTTTCTCCTCTCAAAGGAAATACTCTGCCTTAGTCCTCCTAAAAAAACACCACCTTCATATCTTATACATTATTTAGTGAATTCTTTGGGGGGGGGGGAATCTCCAAAAAGA